CCATGAACCTCCAAGTAGGGGTTGTGAATCTGGCAAGCACTCGAGCACAGGAGTTTGAGGTTCAGGGACCACCTTCAACCGATCTCACGCGTTCGAGCTCGAGCCTCACGGCTTTGTAGAAGGTTGCAAAACTGACCGTTTTGCTTCTAGCTCGACTGGGAGTTTCCGAAAATAAGGGTANNTTGGGGTCCTAATAATAAGGATCCCACTATTTGGGGTACTATATTAGGGTCCCCTATTTTCGGAAACCCCCAGACTCTGGTATTCTGGCAGCAGAGCCTGTATCCCCCTACAATCTGAAACCTGGAAGGGGGTTTTAGTTTTGTACACTTGCTCCGTTGACACACCCTGGTCCCGAATCAAAACTAGACCGATGCTGAAGCTCCTTGTCAGACATGTCAAACCTTTACCTTGTAGAAGCCTTTGGGCCCCGACCGGCTCGAAACGATTCTGGCGCGACACCTGTTCAACGAAAATCAGGTGTCAAGGAGTCTCGAGACTTCAGACTTCCTCGGACTCGCTGGGCTTGGGGATTGTGTGAGGCCCAGAGAGCAAAGGCTGCAGGCGTATAGGATGAGATGGGCCGAACCACCGTTTGTCCCAGAGTTGTGAGAGTGTCGAGTATTGCGAGCTACTGACAAAGCCTGGGCTACTGCTGCAGCCTCTCTTGTTACACCACATCAAGGATGGAGACCTCCGTATCAAGCAGGACGTCTGTACATTACTTACATGAGGAGCCAAGAACCTGATCACAAGTTTGCCGAAAGCTCTAAGCACTGAACCACCCAGCATTGATCCACTGAATGAAGCCCTGGCCCTACAGCAGACGTAATTTATAGAAATCGCAGAAGCATGCAACATAGAGGGCCTGAACAACTAGCATAGACTATAGAGTTTGGGGGTACAGTATAGCATAAGTTTCACATGCAGGTCTGATGTAGATTATAGATGCCAGAAACTATCTATTGTTCATCAGACCTCCATATGGGGGTTTCCGAAAAAGGGGACCCTAATATAGTACCCTAAATAATAGGATCCCTATTATAAGGAGCCCAAAATAAGGTACCCCTAATTTTCTGAAACTCCCATATTAATATGACTCAGTCGGAACTGGGAAGGGCGGGCCTTGCCGCGGCGCTCCACTCCAGGGTGGCCTTGGACTCTGCCCCATTTGAGTGCCCATTATCTTCTAGGAAAGCCGGGGGAAGGGGGGCTGGATTCCATGAAACCTCGAATACTTCGTGAGGACAGGAAACATGCAGGTTTGGGGCTCAGCCCAGTACAAGGGATGCGTGGTGATTAAAATAGGTTTTGGGTGTCTAATGTAGAGGCCTTAATAGTTAAAGTAGGGTTTTGGGGCCCCTTATGCTGTAATCATAATAAGGAACCCCCCCCCAAACTAGTACTGGTAATTCTTGAGGCGCCTACATGAGCGGAAGAATATCCGCCTGCTCCCACCGGGGCTAACCCAGAGCTGTGAGGGTCTGGGCACCTGCATCGACGACCGATCGTCGAGTCGATGCCAGGGGAGGGTCTGTGGCTTCGGGTGGACGGCTCAGCGCTTAGGGTTGAGGGGCATGCACTTGAAAACCCAGGCGCAAAGCCATGAACACTCAGACCGAATAGCCCCGAAACCCGTCAAGCCGGTTGTTCGTCCAGCAGCCTAGCACAAGTCCCTGGCCCCTAATCTGCATTCATCACAACGATGCGATACTCTAGTACTACGCTATATAGTATACTATGCTATACTATACTATACTATACTATAAGATAGTATAATACACGATACTGGAATGTAGTATTTCGATGGCATCGTTGCATCGTCTGGCAAGCGGCTTTGGAAGCGCTCGATAGCAGCAAGGATCGCTTGCCGTCGAACCTGCCATCCGTTTCGATGCTTGGCTTTGGCATCGATTGATGATATAAATCCTGCACTACCCACAATAAGGAATATGCCATAAGTGCCATAAATTTAGGGTCCTGGAGGTAACGCAGGATTTAGATCATCAACAGTAGGTCGGGCGAAATAGCCCCAGATATTGCTTTTCTGGGCCTGTGCAGTAGACCCTAAACCCTAAACCCTAAACCCTAAACCCTAAACCTGCAGTTCTGAATGCTTACGAGGCGTGGCTTGGAGGTCCAGAGCTTCGGAGGCCTCCAAAAGGTGGGATGAAGGTAGGTAGGACTAAGGATCCCTTATATAAGGGTTTAGGGTTTAGGGTTTAGGGTTTAGGGTTTAGGGTTTAGGGTTTAGGGTTTAGGGTTTAGGGTTCAGGGTTTAGGGTTTAGGGTTTAGGGTTTAGGGTTTAGGGTTATAATTGGGAATATCCCACCTACCTTCATCCCACCTTTTGAAGCTTCCGAGAGCTCACCAACCATGCCACTCACACGCCCGCACGCCCCTTCAGCTTCACAAGCCCTAAATCCCTCAACCCAAACTCCCTCCATCCTTCAAGCCGTAAAGCCCTAAAAAAATCTCCTACTCCCTCCATCCTTCCAGCCGTAAAACCCTAAAAAAAATCGGCTATCAAAAAACTGACAAGCGTACAACCCTTAAAAATCCTCTTTTTAGAAAACTGACAACCGTAAAACCTGTTGAACGGGTCCTCATCAGCGATCCATGGCTTCTCAACCTCTGAGGCTTTGCTGACCACCTCCCGAGCTGTTCTCAATTGAAAGGCGCAGGTTTTTATGGGTTTTGGGGGTTCAGCGGTTTAGGGTTTAGGGTTTAGGGTTTGGGGGTTAAGGGTTTAGGGTTTGGGATTGGGGTTCGGGTTTAGGGTTTTTTTCCGGTGTGTTTCCCTCTCTCTTTTGCGGGTTACGGTTTCGGGTTCAGGGCTCTGCATGGGAATGAACGCTTTGGGCTTCAGGATTTATGCTTTAGAGCTTTGGGGCTTTCGGGCTTTAGGGCTTGCGGGCTTTAGGGGGCTTGTGGTTGCTGCGGTTTGTTTCGAGCTTTGGCGGCTTAGGGCTTGTAACACAAGCTAGCACTGGGGCTCGCAGGTTCTCTAGCCAGCCTGACTCGACCGAGCAACCCGGGAAAGTGGCAGACCTGGTGGTTTCCAAAAATAGGGGACCCTAATATAGTATCCTAAATAATAGGTTCCTTATTATAAGGACCCCAAAACAAGGTACCCTAGTTTTCGGAAAGTCCCACCTAAGTAAGAGCTCTGATATTCAGCTTCTGAAACCTGGAACCATCCCAGAACTCGGGTGCGGAAAATCCCACACACGCAGGCAAACTCTCAAGTCCCGAACCAAACTTGGAGGTTCATGGGTAG